GAATGAGGTGCCAAGGCCGTCCGAGATATCGAGGTTTTTCATGACCGCGGAACAGAAGGGACAATGTGGGGCGCAGGTTACGGATTTGCTGAAGCGTTTGCTGGAGGATATGGGTGGTGCGGACGCCGCGTGGGATCTGAGGGTTGGAGAGGCAGTGTATGATGGGATGGGCGAGGAGGTAAAGGAGGAAGACGAGGACGAGGAGATGTCATGATCGCTTTCATTGTGCCCCTACGGCGTTCTTTTTCTTTTGTGATGCATTTTTTCATAATTTCTACTGTATATACTTATCTCCCCTTCCCCTCATGTGGGAAAGTACTTTACCTGGCGTAATTAGGTCATTAGGATTTCCTATGTTGAACAGAACTATACCATATCTTTACTATTATCTTAGTTAGGCCCTGAATATGGGATTCAAAGTTATGACCAATCACCTGGTGCCCTCTTTTCATCGTAACAAGCAATGTTTCGTTTTTCGGACAACTAGCTACCAAGCCCAAAGTGCAAATAAATACTGCACGTACTCCACTCCCTTCACGTGCACTGGACGTTGAGAAGCCCCACCCGCGCGCTAGTATCCACCTTGGGATTCAGCAAGGCCTAGATGCGCCCACAAATAAACAATTTTTCTACTCTGCTTTTTGTTTGCTGGCGGGCCAAGCCAAGCCTTGTTCTCGAGTTCTAGGCCTCCTCCCCCCCCCCCCTTGTCTCAGTGATAACGTACTGGCTCTTGAGTAGTCAAGCTCGAAACTATTCGAATAGACAACCCTACCGAGCTACTAAGTATGCACATCCAAACTACATGTATTGACCTCGATCTCTAGCTAACTGCCGTAGGCGGCCGGTCTGGATGTACCGCTTTCGTTGCCTTGCCCTTGCCTTGTCTATTACCTGTTATATTAGCAATAAATAGGATCGTTTATATTATATTTACCTGAGTGGGGGGGATTAAGGTCAGGACCCTTGCGTCCTTAGGCCCAGCAAAGGGGGAGGGAGGGGATCGTTTTTGGGGTATGGATAGATGTGATACGATGTCGCCATATATTATACGCCGTGGGAGAAGGTTTCTTTCACACATGATTTAAAAAAAAAAAAAGAAGGTTTCTTTCACATAATCTCACTCGTGCCGTCGGCTCACGCAGCCATCCGAGACGGATGGCATTGTTCTCAATGCGGAAATGACTTGTTGATTCTATGCCTCCCCCACTCGCTCACTCACTTCACCAGCGGCCCTCGAACCCCCCACTGCGCGCTTATTGGCAGGCGAAGCTGGCAGGCCGTGGGCTCGGAGGGAGTCAACTTACATAATATTGTTGACACCCAGCTAGGGAAGGAGAGAGGTTGGGAGAGGAGTCATAATCTATCACTCGCGTGGAGCTAGGACTTCCTCGCTAGAAAACGTTTCATGGTGCTACTAGCTACAGTCGTTTCTAGGTCAACGGCGAACCCGGCTCGATGACGAATGGCGACTTTTCGGGCTGATAATCAGTCAAGGCAAAGGGGTCGGCACACTTTTGTTGGCTTTTGTTGACTTTGATTGGCCCATTCGCCATCGAACCGAGTTCGCCGTTCACCCAGAAACGACTGTAGTGGCTAGACCTAATCCCTGGGTATTTGTCAGTCTCCCGAAAGATCCGCAAAGGTACTCTAGCCTTTCTCATGAGCTGCCCTTTATCTAGAGAGTTGGTATCTCTAAATTAGGAAACAATAGTTAGCTATTTCAACAGAAAGTGCCTTGTTTCCTTGTTTGTTCTACGTCATCGGTAGCCCGCCTCTAAACCTCCTCCGCCCGAAAGAAACTAACGGTGAGCATCAAAGCTTAATTGCTGTTCCCATTCTAGAAGCCAACTCAAACGCGGCAAAAGTCCAACATCAAGTTGGTTTCTAGAACCTCAACGCCGCGTCCGAGCGCTCTGGATCTGACACATCTCGGTTGATCACACCGATCTGACATGGCTTTTTGCTAGAAAAAATAACATTACCCGAACACTCCTCTAATTTGAATGCGTAAAATGCTGCCAAGCCGTAATTATAAGCGCGCTGTTCGCATCCGCGACGGGCAGGAATTTCCGCTGTGGAGGCCACAATTACAAGTCCGACCACACGCCCCTAGTGCCGCGGTGTAGAGACCGGCTAGTAAGGGTTTGTTGTTCTCTCCAGTGAGCACGGATATATTGTTGAAGGCCCCGTGCAATGCCTCCTGTTCCTTCCCTCCGTCTCGCTTATTCGGTAATTCAGCTTCTTGGGTTCCCCTTATGTCGAAAATGCGCCTAGGATATTGAATAGGTGCTCTCGTTTATTTGGTACCACTCCCTCCATATAGCCGCTTTTTATTTCACTTATTTAGATCCAAGTGCCGTTAGCAATTACCAAGAAAGGAAGCCACTCCAGAGGGTGAGCGAGGTCGAGTGATTTTCCATGAAGGTTAATAAAACCCCAAATTTCCCGCTCTCTTAAACCTCTTTAATTTGAATCATAAATATGGTATATCTACGAGTATTCATGAATAAACCGGTGTAACTATTAGTTGACAAGTGAATTCATGGCTTGAGTCTTTTTTATGGACCGCTCGTCCATCCATGAACCAGCTCAAGCTTAGGAAACTGGCAAAGCCCAAGATTTGATAACCGTTTATACAGACGGTAACAGACCTAGATTAGTCGCAGCTCGAGGTTTCCTCACCAAACCTCCCCGCCTGAGGGTATGAAGAATAATTATCGAGGACCATACTAGGTATTGGTAGTATTGCGTGACCATCTCATGGCATGATCATAACGGGGTGTCCAAATCAGGGGTCATGATTGTATCGGAAAAATCTTAGATACTTGGCGTGACGCTATGCTATTTTATCCACTTATCGCTAGAACAGCTAAAAATAATCGTGCAATATTCAGTCAATTAATGATTGGACCGGTCCAGCCTATAAAATTGCTGGATAGACTGCGTTCGTGGTTGGACTAGAGCCAACTATCATCAGGACATAGCGAGAAAAAAGTTGAAACCCCATTCAAACAATAGCAAAAAGAGAATTATCTTCTCCCTTAGTTTCCATTTCCACAATCCTGTGTTGATTTAGTTCTTTTTGTAGGTGCTTGAAGCGTTTCTCTGGTGGAGTTTTTGTTTCTGTTTCATGAAGCGCATTCAGAAAACTGGTTTTAACTAATCGATAACATTACTACTTCTAATCTTTCTAGGAAGCGTCCTTGGGTCTTACTCCAACGCCTCTACATGTGCGAGGAGAGGAGTAGAGGGTCCGGGGTCCTGCGTCTCCATATCGATCTTAAAAGTCTCATCGTAGCGGGTTATCGATGTCAAACGCCTGATAGAATAGGGTGATTATACCCTGATCGTTCCGCGTCCCATCTTCTATGACTTGTGATGTGCTGGGGCTAGGGCTGGGATTGGGCCTGTGTCCTTTGTGTAGTGGCGGTCTAGTCTGTAAGTCCGATCTTCTGTGCTTCCCTCCAGATGGCTTTACAGCCTTTACGATATTCTTTCGATAGAGGTTGATATCTCTCCTGATGTAAACGGAGATTGTGGTGCATATACATGTATGTATGCATTAGTGTGGGGTAAAGGGTAGAGTAAACAGATGCATTGCATTAGCGGGGCCTGATGGGTGGGGGCTGTCCAACAACTTTATTAACCACGAAGAAGAGACCACAAACTAGCACCACAGGGTACTCCTGTCGAGGCAAGTAAGGTCATAGCTACACGTGATAGGACTAACTGTTATCTGCTCTTCTATTAGAACCTAGATGAATAATAAAAGTTAACACGAGTGCTTTAAACATTTGTGGCTGATAAAGTGCTACCTCTCCACTGTACTAAGGGCCTTCTGTCCATCTTTCCATCGATCCATCTTTCTTTCTTTCTTTCTAAGATTTGTTTCTGCATCTTTCTTCCAAATCTTTCTTCTCATCAATCCTTTTGGACATCTTTATCGCTGGCTGAATAGTAGAAGTCCTGCTCTGCAATGATTCGACGTGACAGAAATCATCTAGAGATCCAATTGTACAATGGTAATTGTGGAGGATGAGTAGTGGGTGGTATGTAAGTGAGCTTGTGAGCGATGACAGCCAGTGGAAATTCTGAACTGATGAGTTGCAGCCTGCAAAGATACGAGAGAGATCTATTTGTAGTCCCAAACTACGAAGATAAGGGAGAATAAAACTAATACACACTTTCCAATAAAAATAATATATTGCACTCAGGTCGGATTCACAATCAATCAGCCAAGCCCCAGCTGCTGGCAAAGGCTAATAGGCAAATCACAAAAAAGCTTTATCACCTTGCATACAGTCTTCTCTCTTTGGTTATAAACAAAGTCCGGACTCAGATAGCATCATCGGGTGGATCGGATAGTGGTATCAGGTTATGGGAGGAGTGTTCGAGTGCACGAAGGAATGTCTATGGGCTTTTCGCTACATAATACCTATCCTAGAGATTTATGGGAACATATTATAACAAGTGACCGATGCATGGCATAGACTGTATGTATGTGTTCCAATCATCTGTCTGCTATTGTGAAGACTAAACAGAGTGTACCTCTCCTGCGTTTTGAGAAAGTAAGAGGTTTGATGCAGGTGTTGGGGTTAACGATAATCAAAGGGAAGTTTTGAGTTGCTGTGGAGGGCGGAGGACCTGAATTGTTGGAAGGAGTTTTCATGATATTTTTCATAGGCCTGAGAAATTGCAATTAATGAATTAAAAACAAAATAGGCCCGAGAAATGCCGACTCCTAGAACCGAAGAGTGATATCTTGTGACGCAACTAACAGGTGTTTCGACAAGACGGTACCGATAGTAAGCTTTCTTATCTAAGTCAGATTCTTTATAGATACATTCTAATCACATAAGGCACCTGGCCTGTAACCAAGGAATCAAAAAAGCTTGTATTAGTTTGGTCAGCACTATATTCAGATATTGATACACAGTTAACTTACGAAGCAGTCATCGATTACATGTAGCATAACGCATGCCACATGAACCATCCATCTCTCATAAATAAGTATCCCTACTGATACCAATATGCCGAAGCTGATGTTTCCAAAATATCATGGCTAAATGAGAGTGTTTTGACTTCCCCGGCAATTCAGTCCGTATTCAAATCTACACAAGGTGGAGTATATACCTACCGGTATATACACTAATCTTGGGACCGTAGAGCTAAACGAGCTATCCAGATAGCTTAGCATGGCCAACCAATATGCAACCCCCAACCCGTCGGTATCATTACCAGAATCCACAGCTACATACAGAGTCTGGTAGAATTATTGCGAAAGTGGGTTTTCCGTGACCCGATAGTCCTATTGGCCCTTAAAGAAATTTCTGCAGTGAGCACGGACCAAGAAGCCCACTCTTTTAGTTCTGACTTTCGCAATAATTCTACTAAACTCTGTAGCTAGCTAGCTAGAATGCGTATATTCACTTACATATGACAGGAGGGGAAAACAATTAAACCCGACCCTTGACATGACTCCCATGCCTTGCCCAGGCTGCAGCATCTGTCCCCGAAATAGAAACGATCCACCACCCATTCCCGCCGTGCAAGCCGGTATCTAATGACACGACCAGGAACCTGCAGCACCGCACCTTCAGCCTGAGGGATGGATGGATGGTACGTTTAGCCCTCCGCCTCCACCACTACGACCACCACTACGATCACCACCACCATCTCTACACCCATGGAAAGAAAAAAAGCTCCAAACCACAAGAACCATGTCAGACCACTCCATGTGAAGTGAGGAAAGGCCGTTTTACTTGCCTAGCTCGTCCTTATCGTTCTATGTACTGGGACGGTAATTGGAGTCCAGCTCCAGTTATGGTACATATTTCCCGAGTTAAATTTGAGCTACGGGATCCCCGTCACAAAGCTGTATTGTTGGATGAAGGTACATAAGTATCTATAGAGAGATGCCGGAGGATAGCCAGCAACAGCGGCGGAGGCCGGGCATATGTATAGTTCTTCCGGCCCGAGCTCGGGGAGGTCAAGAATTCGATATCATCTCTGTTCTCTCACTTATCTCCACATGTGCAGCCTATCTCCCTCCGCGGGCAAACCACTTTTCATAACAGAAGTAAAAATATCATAAAACGAGCTCACAAGTAAAGCAAGTTTACATTTTCGGCTGGTCTGCCTGCCAAGGTTTCTGGAGAAAAACACTGAAGGAGGGAGGGGCATTTGCATAAATATGAATTTGTTTCTAAAACAAAGTTTGTTTCCTCTTGTTCCCCGAGTTTCTAGCTCTGTCTGGCTGAGTGCAGATAAGTTACATGTAGGTAGAATTACATTTAGATACGGTGGAGCATGCTTGCTTGCATGATCAACCGTCACACACACCGCATGCTTGCATACAGCAGTAAGGCATGGCAAATCTACTTCTCAACATGTGCATGTAGAACAGTAGGTAACGTTGAGGGTGATCATTCAGCTTATGACAGATAACTGAATGCACTGATCTTCATGGTCTTTTGGTCTGTGTATCAGTTAGCGCCCGGGAGGAATTCTCGGAATTTCCCCCCCTTCTTTACTTCAACATGGTTGACATAACTACTGATACAATGTAAAAAGAAGCAGAAAAGGCAGCCCGAGAACATCAATAAAATTTATAATGACAAGCCAAAGAACTCAATCCTAGCGAAAGGCACCGGCGAACCCGGTGAGAAGAAAATATACGGGGAAAGAGAAAAAAAGAGACTATCGAAATTAATCAGAACCGCACAATCACCCCGCTAAGCCATTGTTCCAGTACCATAGATCGTTGGGGTTGGTTTGTAGACAAAAGAAAAACAATAACTCCAGATAAGAAAGAAGAAAGTATTGGTACAGTGGAGATGGGGTTGAAAGAAGAAAAATGAACCACCCTTAAGGAAAGAAGAAAAATATTTGCTCCAGTAAAATCCCCTAGGACGACTAGCGTAGAAGAAATAAAAATAGAATAATAGAGACGGTTTAGAGTAAAGGATCTTCCTAGTCCTCCTCCTCAACGATACAGTTCATTTGCGGGCTCGTACTTCCGTCCTGCGACCCATGGCGCCTAGGACTCACTGACGGAGGTCGCCTCATGTGGTTATCCTCCAGCTCGATACTCTCTTCCGACCACCCAACCATATCGCAGAACTCGCTCCATAGCCTGGTATCGTTGTTGCCACCGCAAGATTTGGTAATGAGCAGATCTTTTGACCTCTTGAGCCACGCAATATCCGGCAACTTGTTCCGACTGGTTTGTGTCCAAAGAGGAAGGCACTGGTTCTTGAATTTGTCGTCACCGAGCGCATGTTTGACCTGGCTGACCCATCTCTTGTTTGCACGATGGTCGATCAGTTCCGCCATCTCAACTGTGCGGTCGATAAGCGGGACTAGCATTAAGGGTGCCATGGGGGCCATGGGAATTAACGTTTCGATCTCCCCCTCGATGTTTTCCATGCCATGGATTGATCCACTGTCGTCATCGTCGCTCTTGTCACACTTGATTGAAACAATGGATCCGGATCGTTGTCGATGATGGTGGTTGGCACAGTGAGCTTCATCACAGTGTGGGATATCGTCAAAGGTAGCTGGAAACATCATATCATCTGCCATGACCTCAAGTAATGGAAGGGAATCATCCAGAGAACCGGTTCTTCTACGGCGGTGGTGACGTCGGCCTAATTCTTTGGGAGGGGAGTACTCGTCGAGATGGAGGCCCTCGATTTCCTTTGACAGCGAGGCACCACTGGGGGCCCGGCGGATGGTTAATGAGGGATGACGGTCTGACGCAGCGGGGGAAGTGCGGAAGATGCTTGATGAAGTGGAACTCGGTGTTTGTCCTGGCGAAAATCCTGGTGAAACTCCACCTGCAGATGATCTGCCGATTCTCATGTTGAGAGTGTGGGCCGACTCTCTCAATGCGTTGAATGAAATGGGCATGGTTGTTGGAGAGACTACGGTTTCCCCTTGCACGGTGTACGCGGAGGATCGTGGTGATGCTGATCCATTTGAGTGATGCCCGTGGTGGGAAGAAAGCTCGAATGGTGAGTGGAATGCATCCACGTGAAACCGGGGTGTACGAGGATCACGGCTTCCGGCCTTGCTCGACATGGCTGAAGGTGAGGTTGAATGAATGGGTAAAGTGGCAGTCTCCATCATTGTGGATATGGTTTTTTTGTTTCAAATGACGATTGCAGAGTTACTGATTGTTGAGTATATTGTCCTTAAGAGATGGGAGGATAATGAACCTTGAGGGGTTATTTTAGGGGAGGATACAAGGTGATGACGATGTTGTTGTATTTGGCGGAGGAGGGTATATCGAGTGATTTGCTGAGGACCGGAATCGGAATATGGTTTGGAGGGGGGGGGTTGTTGTGCTGCCCGTGTTGAGATTGGGTTTGGGATTTGAGTTTAAACAAACGTTGATGTGGGAACTCCTAATGGAGTTTATATTCTACAGGACGGGAAATTCTCTATGGGGAAGAATCTCCTGTCTTATATAGGGAAAGGAAAGAAACGGAGGAGACGTCAAGACTCTAGGTGTGGAGGCGGAAGTAACAGGCGTAACTCAGAAGAGTATAATGCAGGCATAACCTAGCCTCTGGTGCTGGCTGCTTCCTGTACTCTATATCCCTTGAGTACCCTACCGGGTGAACCCCTACACTTCCTCAACAGCAGCGGTTCAACCTCATGCTCAAGCTCTAGAGTATCATCTACATGACACTGCCAGTGGTGATGGCCCCACTACGTAGTAGTTAAGCTGGGTATCACCAGAGCTTGGTGATGTGAACAGGTTCGCATCTAACCCACAGCTGATATCATCGACACGCAAATGCCAAGTCTGCATCCGCAATTGTGGGATCCACTAGACGCGCTATGGCCCCTTACTCTTTGCACTTTGTAGTACCTACTGCTGTGCTCTTCTTAACTCTACCGCAACCGCTTGTCTACACCCATTTGTTAACTCGACTTGGCCTAAACCCTCATATCGTGCCCCCGGTTTTTAACAACGCACTAGCAGTCTACTTTACTACTGTGCCCTACTTACATAACCCGCTTCTCCGCAAAAAAAATACATGTACTCACACATTCGTGTTACTCCATTTATCGCTGCTTTGTCCGTCCTGTGCCCTTTCGTTCTAACCTCGAGCTACTCTAACCTCTAACCCCCCCCCCCTTTTCTCCCTCCGCAATCCATCTCGGTTCCCTTCTTGCCTCCTGTCGTGATGATAGCGGGGAAGCCAATCAGGGGCAGCAAAGGTAACCGTGCTGACAAGGGGGTCGGATGTTGCCTCCCGATTGGCGTTGCTGTTAAAAAAGGGGAGGCGTTTTACGGAAAGTCACCGTAGACAAAAAAAAAAACTTCAAGATACTTTTCCACAAACCCAGTTTTGAACCCCCAGCACACCATACAGAGCCCAGATGCCACACACACACACACACACACACACACACCCTCACTCGATCACTCACCCTAGACACACAGCTTGAACCGCAGCATGAGCATGAGCATGAGCATGAGCATGAGCAGCAAGCAGCAAGCAGTACAGGTAGGCAAGAAGGCAACACGTAGAGTCTTTTCACCATCGAGAAAAGGACGGGGGGTTCCGGCGTGACCAGATTTTGCGGTATTCGCGTCAGTAGTACGGGTCGTGAGAATCGAGATACTGCCTCTGGATCAGTTCAGGGGTGGTGATTCCCTTTTCTAGGTATGTATGTAGAGATGGAGGGAGAAAGATCTGGACAGCAACGGAAACCCCGCAACGAAAGAAAGAAAAAATAAAAGAGGTAAAAAAATAAAACATCGAAAAAGAGGATATCTCCAATTGTTATTGCTACTTTCCGTCTTTTCTTTGAATGACGGGCCTTCCGGTGCACAGGAATGTTGTACATACCGGTCTGTGCCCCGGAGGTGAGAAGTTTATTGAACGGCAGTGTGTAGGTGTGCTTGGAGTATGTACTTACATGTATCTACTTACCTATCAAGTCAAGGACACAAAAGAGAGTGGTGTGGTCTTCCCTACCGTGCTGGCGCGGAAGTCTGATGCGGTTGAAAAGACACCTTTGATAGGTATCCACCCCCAGCATGTAAGTTGTAACTCGAGGGTTCAAGGTAATTTTTTTTATATGTTTTGTTTGCACCCAATCAGGGCTGCTGTGAAACTCTAAATCTGCGGATCAAGGCTGCAGCATACAGCCACAAACAAAGAAGACCTCGCACCCCCATGGCGGGCCATCATCCACTCAACCAGGGCACTGTGTAATTGGTATCCCGGGAGATTTTTTTGTTTGAAGGCAGATTTTATTTGTGTCTCGTGTCAGCCAGGGCTCACTGGTTCAACACCGTTGTGTGGTGGTCAAGAAGGGATCGGATTATTCGTTTCTTGCGCAAAGGAAGAAGAGAAACGACGTCAGGATGAGATCACCCACTAGTACGAAAAGACCCAAAAGAAGCAAAGGGCTACGCCATTGTGATATGTGGCTTGTGTTGTGGCCATGTTTATTAGATAAGAGAATCAATCGGTTACCTTTTAATCCCTGTGGAGCATCAATAATTCAGCGAACGGGGCGGCCGTTTGATTCGAAGCCTCGTTTATTTGGGTTGTTCGTTCGCAATCGATCAAGCATGCCAAGGACGGATACGCCCTGCCCATGCCATGCCATGCCCTCCCTGCCTCTCGCTGCCCTGCTTTGAGGGGGGGGGTGTGTGTGTTCAGTTTGTTTGAATTATCATCATCATTATTATCTATCATCAGCCACGAGTAA